GCGTGGGGGCGACGCGGGGGCCTCCTGTGATCAGTTTGATTCGCTTGCAGTTTTTACCCACATAGTAGGATGGAACTGGCTACATCTCTGGTATAGTTTTTCTTGAGGATGGGATTCTCTTTAGTTGGTTTTGACTTTTGAAGGCTGTACTAGTGCAGTAGTGCTCACAAGTCACAAGATTAAGAGCACGCAGGCTGTTATAGAGATTCACGACAGCAGATGAAGGATTTCTAGATTTGTCAATGCTCAGTATGCCCACCTTGTGTGCTTGAGATAAATTTTACTGGCAATACTTGTCTTGTTACAATTATTTCAATAAAATTAACATTCCACAATGTTAACGCAACATGTGTGAGAATGTAAAACTTGTAATTTGCAGAGTTATGTTCTACTGTCTTGAATCATGGCCCGGCAAGTTTGCTTTCTTAAAGCCATGTGTCTATGATGGTTTCGCAAAACTCATGTTATGCTGTGGCAGGTTAAGTTTTTCTCTTCCAGTTTGCTTTCTCAGTTATTTCTGTTGTATTCACTGTCTTTCAGTTGTATGATTGTATCATGGGACTGCATCTGTGCTTTAAAATTTGCGGTTGAATATACCGTGGAACTGCCTCCAGGGCTTTACAAATTGGAGTTGTCTTCCACAAATTGGAGCACTCAGAGCGAAAGTATCGTGTGCCAGAAGCGTTCTGGCTCTTGTGCACTGCACTTTTCCATCTCGTGCTCTGCCTCTTGCTTTTTCGACTTCAAACAGAACAAGTTTTGACAGATTTGTTCTTGAGATGAGAATCGGGTGTTGCAAAGGATGGTGCCTAGAAGGGAAGACGGAAACAGAGCTAAAAAGAACTGTTAAAAACAATTTTAACAGTTGTATATGGATTTTATTTTGTGGGTGCTTATTATTACCTTTTGGATTGGAATAATAGTGATATCCGGTGCAGATCCTCTTCAGGAACTTTCCTTGTCCAATTGAGAAATATATGAATACGTTACTCGTTAGTATTTGTTTCGAATGTCAAAGGATGCGTGCCTCTAAAAATCGGTGGATATTTTGAGAGAGACCGCCGCATTTTAGATCCGCCTCTCTTAATTAAAAGTCTTATCTCCTAAAATCGTTTTTTATAGTGTAAACAAGAGGATGCGGAGTACTTGAAGCATAAAAAGCAAGTGGTTTCCATATCAACCCAGCCAGGAAAAAGTGCAACATTTAACTCAACACAAACAGCAATATATGTAGCGTATCAACAAAGATTCCACCTCAAAATCTAATGGGTTAACTAGGATCATGCCCGTGCGCTGCAACGGGATAAATTCATATCACCGCGTGTTGTCTTAACATGTGTTGTACTATTCAAAAAAATGCCATCCTAATGTGTGATTATTCCAACAAAAATGGTACTTTAAGCGTGAAGTTCACAACATTTTGTTTCTAGTCAATCATCAATATTACATGATTTTTCATGAAGATAAATGATTTTGTCATCCTCGAAACCTAAACCTAAACCAAATTGGAACCAAGGCATATCATTCCTTTTCATCTGCCAAGGTTTATACATAGGTTACAACATGAGCAAAACATTAAACTAAAGTAGTACATAAAGCATGACACCATATATAACAAAACACAAAAAATAATTGAAAATACATTAAGCACAATGATCCACTGAAGGGAGACAATTCTCGACGGTGTAGAACAGATAGGAGCAACAAAGCTGATACTGAGAAGGAAATCGTCTCAGCCACCTTCATCTTCCTAAGCATTGAACACGCAATATATCTCGCAAGCAATAAATAGACACAATTTCTTACATTTATAAGCTGCACAATAGTTTGTATCCTAACATGTATGGTCACTGAACTACTTGTTTTGTTTCCCTGGACGAAATTTCTGGCATTGCGAGATACTGCTCAATTTAAAGAAAGAATAATTCCAACTTAATTTCAACCTTGGATATTGGATCATGCAGGTACATACCTGAAGGTAACTCTTGAGGTGGTAGAACTAGTAGGTGAGGCCCTTGATTACCGCAACCCTCGTGATAGTCTTTGAAGTTTCCTATATACGAAAGAAAGGAATAAAAGCAAATGAAAACTAAACCACTAAAATTCCAAGCAATTGACGAAGCATCTATGTTACTCCCTCCATCCCAAATTATAAGACGTTTGATTTTTTTGGCCCCAAGTTTGACCACTCGTCTTATTCAAAAAGTTTGTGCAAATATAGTCAAATTTAAGTCATTCTTGAAGAATTTTTATTAATAAACCAAACCACGACGAAAGAAGTGATATTTTACACAAATTTTTGAATAAGACGAGTGGTCAAACTTGATGTCAAAAAAGTCAAACGTCTTACAATTTGAGATGGATTGAGTACATATTATCCAGGCCTCTGAGCTGGGCAATGGCATTGATGAAGCGGTCGTGGGTCGTGGAGCTCAGCGATCCACCAGACATGGCTTAGCATCAGCTGGTGAGGACGAGGCCACAGCCGGGTCGCCTTGCCCACACAGAGGCTGATCATTTGAGCTCACAGCGCCAGTGTTGGGCTGCTTCTTCGAGGAAGGGAACATTGTGCTCTCTCGGGTCCTTGCTGCGGCTTTCCCTCTTAAATCTTTCTATGCTCCATTATAGTTTTAGAAATCAAAGATGAATCATACAAAGGAAGCCAGCATCTTGATATTAGAAATATCATAGAAGTGTTGCTACTACATCAAAATCCCATATTTTAAAGTGGCAAATAACAGAGAAAAATACTGAAAGGAGCATGGAGTTGGAAGTGGCGGCCAAATAATAGTGGCTGCAACAGCATACATTTGACAATACAAATAACTGCTGTAAAAAAATTGAATTGACAAGATTTAAATTAAAAGCCACAATAGTCACTATTAACAGAATGTCATGAAGGCTTAATAAAATAATGAAGCACACTGGTGTAAAAAAAATGCATTAACAAGATTTAAATTAAAAGGCATAATAGTCACTATTACCAGAATGTGAAGTCATGAAGGCTTAATAAAATAATGAAGCACACTGTCAATCATAGAAAAATAGCAGGAAAAAATGCAAATGGCAAAGATATCATAATTATATTCATTAATTAGTAGCCTGAACATACTTCAGGATTTTGCATTGATACAAAAGAAAAATGGGTAGTCATTGATGCATGGGTAAGACCAGGTTTGAGATTATGTACAACAGTTTTAGTATTGGTTGTTGATGTATTTTGTTTGGCACTTCCATATGGAAGACGATTTTGCTTTTCCCCCAAAATAGTTTCAGAATAATTTCCTATAGTAGAAAAATATACCTACAGGCCACACTGAGATTGTTGGACAGATCACTGATCTGCTCCTTATGTACCCGCAACATGTTGGAAAGTAAAACATATACATTTCTGATTTCAGCTACTGAAACCATTCCAAGACACAATTTAGTTGAAAACAAAGTGCTTGGAATAACCACCAGCATCAGTAGCTGCTCTGCTTCTCTGGAGAAGTCTCTTGCGTCTAAGCCAAGAAACAGCAACATGAAGTCAACAAGGTCACTCACAATTTACAGAGGGGAAATCACATGCCAACAATTTCCGAAATCTTTGGATTCAGAGAGGAGGGGTTCTGGAAAATTCGATGGATGACGCCTCTGTCAGTATAGGCACAACCATGTCACCGAGAGGGATAAAAAAATTAGAGGAATAAGAAATCAAGCTTCTTATCAATTGTTCATCACTTGTTGCCACTTGTTATTTTGCATATAAAAAAGGAAGCTGGTTGGCAGACACATATATAAACCCTTAATGTACCATTATAAGGAGCAAATATATCTAAACTCGACAAAAAGGGAACACCCAAATGAAGAATGTACTTCAGGCAACTCCAGTGCACCATGATACATGCATGCATTGGCTGGAACGTGCCAATTTCTAACTCTAACATAAACCTCCCTTTAATAAAAGTTGTCATGTTTTGAGATATAAACCTATCAGCAATTCTAACAAGCCTGTTATTTTAAAGTTTTGGAAAAAAAAAACTCTATCAGCTTTAACGTTTCTGTCCATGTGAACATGCTTTGATATAATCTCTTCTACTCTCCGAATACCATATAAATAGTACTGATTCATTTGGACTTGTGCTACAGATACGAAACATTTATACCTAGCTTAATAGGGGTTCTATATGGATCACGTTCAACCGTGCAGTTACTCTTTAAGAAAACTTGAAACGTATAGATATGCATTATGCAATCATAAATTTACGCTTGGGGACAAATATCAAATCTGAATGGTGGCTTGGAAATCTGAAAGAAAAACGCGCAGAAAAAAAAAACAGTTTCACTTTGTACCTGTGCACTTTTTTTAGTGCGCCCAAGGCGCGGACGATGGGCACGGGCATCCTCTCATGCTCCCCACTAATGTCGAAGTTCTGCAGCGACCTCCTGCGTCTGCGCGCCCCACAGCCTGCTCGAAGCAGAACACAATAGTCAAAAACCATCGGTTCAACCACATCATCTTGGCTGCAGGCGCAACGCGCGACAAATTAGATCGAGCGGACAAAGCTGCTATCTATGGAGGCGAGGGGTACTTGTCGTTGGGGACTTGGATGGGACCGAAGGTGTCGCGCTCCTCACGGAAGCAAGTGGAGATCGGGTGGGTCAACGCTGGCCGGAGTAGCAGCTCGGCCGCGGCAGCGCAGGCTGACGGCGAGCCGGACGGGTGCGGATCTCGTTCGGCCACGGTCCACAAACTTTCTGCCTGGCAGCCGTCGATTGCTTACGATTCCGTTTCGGTGTAAACACTAAATAAACGCGATTAGTAGAAAGACAAAAATCCCAGCTTCATCCGAGGGACCGACTCACGTCACGAGATCGAGTCCCGTTCCCGTCCCCTCTCCACCCCACATATCTAACCTCCTTCCTTCCCGATGCATCTTAGCCTACTCTAATAGAACAAATCCTGATACACACAGGCTCTCTCTCTCTCTCTCCCGCCGCCGGCGGGCGTTAGCGGCATGGGAAAAATCCCCCGCCTGCTAATGGGGCGGTATGAGCTCGACAGGCTGCTCGGCAAGGGCAGCTTCGCAAAGGTGTACCACGCGCGCAATGTAGGCACCGGGGAGGAGGTGGCCATCAAGATCATGGACAAGGATCACCTGCCCAAGTTAGGCGCCGTGCAGCAGCAAATCATGCGCGAGATCGATATCATGCGCCGGGTGCGCCACCCCCACGTCGCGCGCATCCACGAGGTCATGGCCACCAGGAAGAGCATCTTCGTCGTCATGGAGTTCGTCGGAGGCAGCACCCTCAACGCCCACCTGGTCCACCGCGCCGGCCGCGGCATCAGCGAGGCCTCGGCTCGCCGCGTCTTCCAGAAGCTTGTGTCCGCGCTCGACTACTGCCACTCGCTTGGCGTGTACCACCGCGACATCAAGCCCGACAACATTCTCGTCGACGCCACGGGCAACATCAAGGTCGCCGATTTCGGGCTCTCGGCCCTAGCCGGCACGGCGCAACGGGAAGCATTGCTCCACATCCTCTGTGGGGACGCCCATGTTCATCGCGCCCGAGGTTTTCCTGCGCTGCGGCTACGATGGCGCCAAGGCTGACGTCTGGGCCTGCGGCGTCGTCCTCTTCGCGCTCGTGGCAGGCCGCTGCCCCTTCAATCACAAGGACACCCATGATCCGCCGCTGTGACTAACACTGCCCGCCGTGGTTCAGTACCGGCCTCGTCGCCCTGGTCCGCCGCATCCTCTGCCCCGACCCGGTGCGCCGTATCGCCATACCGCAGATGAAGGAAAACCTTTGGTTCAAGAAGGACTTCAAGGAGATCCCACGGAGCCTCAGCTAGCCCGAGCTGTGCGACTCTGACTCTGATTCTGACGACGAGTCGACGGCGTCATCTACGTCGTCAGGGGACCCGGCCTCCCCGATGGCGTGCCCCATGCATACCTCGGTATCAGCGCCGTCGCTGACCACACTCGAGAGTCGAGAGTACTGGTAGCGCCGCCGTCCAAGCCCAGCCGCACATGCGCCGCCCCAAGAGTCTAAACGCGTTCGACATCATCACGTCGTCGCCGAGCCTCGACCTGTCTGGGTTGTTCCAGGAGCCGAGCGAGCAGATGCGGTTCACGTCTTCCGCGCCCGTGTCCAAGATCATCTCCAAGCTGGAGGAACTCGCTGGGCACGTCAGCTTCACGGCGCGCACCAAGGAGTACCAGGTGAGCATCGAGGAGATGACGAACGGGAACCAGGGCGTGCTCCTTATCTCTGCCAAGATCTTCGAACTCACGCCTGAGCTCGTCATGGTGAAGGTTTGCAAGAAGGCTGGCGACACCACTCAGTACCGGCAGTTCTGCAACAACGAGCTCAAGCCCGGCCTTCGTGGCCTCGTCGACGGACTGCCGGAGGACAACGCCGAGTGCATGGCCTCCATCTCTGGATGATCGTAGTATCTTTAATTTTATTTCAATAGTTCTATATTAGCAGTATACTAGTTTATTAGGAGTTTTGACAGTGTTAATGCTTTGATGGTGTGTCATGGCATTGTTGTTAATTAGGTTGCTAAAAATTTTAGGCATGTGCTTTCTCATCCAGTACTAGGTGTATCATGGTGTACACTTTTCACTTTTGTTCATCGCCGCATTTGGAAAACAGAATCTGTTGTTTCGTGCACATGTTGTTTTATTATCAGAAAATGTATTATTTTTTAATGCATCTGGAAAATATTCCTTTCATTTTTCCTCTTGCTAACGCATCTAAAGAGCAAGGAAAATAAATTTTATTTGTTTCTATACATCAGGCAAGAAGAGGCTGAATGCTTAAAGGTGACAGTTTTGTATCTTTATTTTTCCATAAGAATAAACCCAAGGTTGGCATCTTTTGGACAGGAATTTTACCGCAACTTTGCAAGCAACACAAGTTTTTGGGAAATATTCCTGTTGATCAGGAGTAATAAGGAGACAAAAAGATGGCCGAAGACACGCAGTAGGGACATGTTACGGTGATCAGAAGTAGACGTCATAGCATTTTGTCTCATGTCCACAAGATGCAACAAAAAGCATGAGTTATTAGAGAAATCCAGCTCCGGGTCTAGAAATCATCAGAGGAACACGCTGAAGCGGAGTGCTCCGGAGATTCGATCGATGCAGCAAGGAACTGGCAAGGCTGTACTAGTCCTGTACCATTTGGCTTTTGCTTTTTTTTTTTATAACCAAATTTGGCTTTTGCTTTGTATTACAGTTTCATACATGGATTCAAGAAGCGGCATAGCCACCGCCTTATATGCAAACCAACCTAGAGAAAAATATATATATAACTGGAGACACACTAATATGATTATCAAGTCAGTCTTATATTTGGAGGTGTGTGAGGATCTTATGATTCATTTGTGTGGGGCACTCATGGTAAGAAGTTATCATCTACTAGTAAATTTTGAGTGGCATGTGCCCTCACTCTACATAACCTAGCTTCAGCCCTACTTATATGAGTTTTAGTGATGATGAATCAGCATAATCATCTGCATTGGTAATATCGTAAGCGCATGCATGTAACTTGAGTAGTTCCCGTATATATCCAGGTGCCTCGTGAATATCACATCGATTGTAATTAAACGACATTTTACCTTGAGAGTCCTAGTGACAAGACGTGCAAGTGTGTAATCTGTGCATTTGTTGCATGACAGCAGCTACAGTTATGTTTCTTGTCAACTAGCCACGCAGTGGCATGCTTAAGGCTATATCAGTATGTACCGTGCCGTCAAAACCTGAATTATGCTACTAACTACAGAAAATCTACCGTCGGTTGCATACACTTCTACCGTTCTACGCTCAACCACTGCAGTCCTGGAGAAGTACAGGATTGGGTATATGATCCCATACAAAGAAATATAATCAAAACCTTCAACAATTTTTTAGCTTAAATGCAAGTGCATGTACAAACTGAAGTAGCAATACATGAACACACTGAACAAGTACAACATCAGGCTGTGTTCTCTCAAGCCCGGAGATAACATACACAAACCAACCACCACATAGAGTAAGCAGCCACTACCAGATAAACCGCTCTCTTGATATTTACAATGAACAAACAAATTATCGAGCTACAACAAAGACAACAAAAAGGAATTCGAAAGACGCAGCAGAGTTTCCAACTGGTGGTGAACCTGTCTACGCGCTAAACTGTATTGTGAACTTGCATCATGAAATTAAAATGCCTCGGGCAAAACGAGCCATTTAAAGCCATTTGAAGTCATAGACACAAACATCACAAAACTCAAAAGCCTAGATCATCTGAAGCTTTGATTTTGGTGGTAGGATGGTACGAGGCACTGATGAAAGCACTTTGAGTTGGATCAATATGCTTGTGGCTGCTGCAGAAGTACAATCAACTTGTTTATTGAACGGTACCTTTAATTTCCATCCAATGTATTCTCTTGGGGCAACACCAAGCTGAACTTCTGAATCGCTTCTCAAACAGAACTATTTCATTTCTCAAAAATCTTTGCCCGCACAGCTGACACGTAAAGGTCATCATTGTGCACTCATTGCACCCAAGATCATTCAGGCTTCAATTTTTTTCTCTGCACAGCTGACCCAAAAAGGACATCATTACACCAATTGTTGCATCCACGATCATTCAGGCTTCAATTTTCTCACCATTAAAGATGGATTTGAGCTCCTTAGTGAAATGATTATTCCAGTAAGAAAGAGAAGCAAATGGCAGTAAGCCATTCAAGGCTGGGATAAAAAACCCCAGCATAGCATAAAATATCCAGCGGCGAATCCAATACGGGAACCAGACAGACTCCTTGCTATCAGATACAGATATAGGACCATGAAGAACACGGTACAAGACCGATGGATAACAATTTCCAAGTAAATGGATGGAACAAAGAACCTCCCAGCATATAAGCCACATGTTCCCATCGCCACCAAGTGTGTTGGTACAGAACCTTCCAGCGAAGCCACAAATAACTCCCAACAGAATGATGTTGAAAGTTACTGGCATACTTGATCCAGACACCGCAGAACGCTGGAATGCTAACCAAACAATTGCCAGAATCATTACTATGCCAAAGAACATCCGTGTTGCAGCTATTACATGACATCTTATGAAGAGCAACCCAGAATTGAAGTTTGACATTGAATTTGGCACCCACCATGATTTAGATCCCTGCATGAGAGACAAGAGAGAATCTTTCTGATTACCACACAGGTTTGTTAAGATTGTACTTCATTGATTACTGATAGAAAAAGAAGAGACAGATGATGAGCGTACCCTCGAGGTGGCTGAACATGCTGCTGTAATATCAGTTATCCTTTGGTATGAATAAGTATAAGTTCCGTACCCAAAGCATACTGACATAATAATCACTGCACTAACAAGGAAATCTATGAGCGTCCTCATTATTTGTGCATGCCTCGTGTCCTGCATCTGAATCTTGAATTTCTCCTTTTGGAAGGAAGCTTTCTGAAATCCCAAGGATAACTTAATCTTGTCTAACATGTGCGAGTAGGAGTTAAGTTCTAGTTGAGACTGTTTAAGCTGCAACTTTCTCATGCTGAGGCTTATCTCAAATTCCTTGAGCTCATTTGACCGAGTTTGTTCTTTCAAAGATCTCTCAAATGCATTAATGATGCGCTGATTAGCTTCAGGAGAAGATATGCTATGAGTACGATGAGTCAGCTGCTGACTGCCACCAGCATACAGAACAAGCTGACTTTCCTCTGAATTTGAAAGGTCCTGCTTGATTTCCTGCGTTGGATTTTGTGGACCACCAGTGCTCAACTTGCTTGCAGCATTAGAGTCTTCATGCTTAGAAGAACATTGAGGAACTGGACCTTGTCCATAGACAGGCATCTCATTAACAAGATGAAGCGTCGTCAATGTGCTGCTGAACGATTTCTCGAAGTTTCTCATAAAACTGTCTAACTTGTTACCATATATCTATACAGATGATAAGTAAAGTATATATTAGGAACCTTATTAACAACTGAGCTGTGCAATGATAAATGGAACTAGGCTTACATTTCTCAATGATTCCTTCACTGCCGATGTACAGATCTGCATCCAAAGTCCAGACTCAGTTCCAAACTACAAACAGTTTCGTGGTTTTGTAGAGTTTATTAGTCAAATTGTAGTACAATAACCTTGGAAAGGAGTGCAGGCTGTATTCTTTCGCCTGAAGGATTCTTCGTATTCACAACCTGCAATCAGCAAATGCATCTCCTCATTGCCCTGAATAGAAACTTAGGTGCACAAAAACATGGCATGTGATGACGCTAACATGAAGGCGAATGTGGGTGAAATATAGGATTTTCCCTGGTGTGCTCATGTGAATGATGACGCCTCTGGAGAAATGCATGTGAAATTGTCGAGAGATGAACAGATGACACACAGTGAGGTGTGAGCAGACAATCATATGAAATGTACGCCCTGTTTGTTTCCGCTTCTCCTAGACACGCTTGGATTATAATCTAAGCGAAGATTTTCTCGCTTCTCGCTTTTCGCTTCTCGTAGTTCAAATCTCTGAAGCGGCTTACCACATAAGCGAGAATCGGTGGAAATAAGCAAAGCGTTTGGCGGGATTCTCGCTTATTTCCACTGATAAGCCGCTTATAAGCGGAAACAAACGGGGCCGTAATCTCATGCTTGATTTCGGAATGGATAGCAAATGTTGCAATACAATACAAGATGAACAAAAGTCATGTGGCCCCCACGGAAATGAAAGAAAAGTGACAATTTCCCTCCCTCAAATGGGTACGCCTTACTGGTATGGCTCTATCACCACTTCTCTGACCCCAAGCTGCCACATTTGACATGTGATGCACGATTGCTCGGAATAACTTTTCGCGAGCATGTCCTTGTGACACGTATTTCATTAAGAAGAAGTAGAGGTGAACAGGTTACAACTAACTCAGGTAATCCAAAGATTACCCAACACATAAAAAGAGAAAAAGAACAACGAAGGGGAAGAACCCACAACCCCAATACCCTACTAGCCAAACCTGCGAGAAGATACATCAACGCAAAAGCTGCCTACAGAGCGGACCAGGCCACTGTGGCAAAGCATCCACCTAGAGAACTCAAAGAACCAGCGACAACGGCGGCAAAGCATCCGCCCGAGAGGATCAAAGCAACCTTGGCGGCAAAGCATCCGCAAGGTAAGAGGCCCACACACGCTCGGCACCAAAGTATCTGCCAGAGATGGGGACCAGCAACGACGACGGTAAAGTATCCGCAAGGTGAACCAACAGCAACGGCGGCCAAGCATCCGCCCGAGAGGATCAGCGCAACCTTGACGGCAAAGCATCCGCAAGGTGAGGGGCCCGCGCACACTCGGCATCAAAGTATCTGCCAGAGAGGGGGTCTAGAACAGCGACGGCGGCAAAGTATCCGCAAAGAGAGATGCCCACACAGATATGGCAGCAAAGTATCTGCAAGC